GTCCTATTTTGCGCTTGTGCACTGGTGGAAACAATAGCGACTTTCAAAGACAGTTGCCAACAAGTAGCCAGTGCTCTAACGAAGAAAAATATTTTTTAGAAACTGGACAAATTAGATGATCAGATGATTGACCTCTGAATAAAGTAGCGTCGCCCTGATTCATCGAGATTTCCTCCACTTTTGGAACGATGCATAACTGGTGTAACAGCGCATAGGCAGCAATTGAAGTTACATAATTCAGGTTTGTGTGTCTGGTTTCAGCAGAGGACTGCGGCATAGCCCTGTGAAACTGACATGGCGTATTATATGCCTTGAGCTTGAGGGAAACGATCGTTGAGCAGCAACGCTTAACCTCGTTGATCAGCTTGTCTGGCAGGTCAAATTCTGACGGTAAGCGTGGAAACAGGGCATGCTTTTTTACCCAGCGAATCTCACGTCGTGGTTGCAAAAAGAACATCACCTACCTTCGTGAATGAGAAACGTCACCGTTTGTCATTTCGGTACAACGACCGGAGATCGACGCGCCCATTCACGCCCACATGACCGTCAATCTTCAGAAAACTGGCCCCGAATTTCTACGCCTTTGCGAAACAAAAATCTGGCCCCCTCTCCACCCAGCCGCGTTTCATCTCGACCGCATTCGTTCGCGGTACATCAAGATAAATTCACCGCTGCCGGCGAAACGCGCCAAAACAGAAACCATCGCTTTAGGTGCCATACGAACCGCCGATGAGTCGTATGATAGTGAAAGCAAAGCATTCGTCACCGTCGTTTTGTGTCAGCACTGATTTATTACAGGAGAATTTTCAGTACCGCATTTTGTTATAATAGTTGCGTTCATGACTTCTTTGAATGAAGTCTATCACCGACTACCGATAGCCCATGGCAGCAGTTATTCTGGCGCAAAACTGATAAACGGAGCAATGCATTAAATATGATTATGTATATCGAACATTTGTATCATATTACAAATCATGAAACAACAGGCTGCCGAATCAGTCGGTGGTTCGCATCACTTCATGGATCTTCTTCGCCTATCGAAGAGAGTTCAAACCAATCAATGAATGAATAATATTATGCTTATATGAAGGAGTATGCAAAACTCCAGAATAAAGTCAATTTTTTGACGTATGCTGGCGCATGAATCGATTTCGATGTTTATGCAGTAGTATGACAGAAGTGCCAATTTCTAGAACATCGTTCTTAGTAAGGGAAAGAAGGCTCTAGGAAGCAGAATGTGAGATACATCTAACAGTGTAGATGCTCAAATGAAACTGGTCTGAACCGTGAAACTGCCATGTAAATGTCTTCCCCCCTCCCAGACAACTAGGAGCAACGGATGATGCCGTAGGCAGCGAATAAATGAGCGAGGGCAAAAGAATGATTAACTGGTGATAAGTGGTGCTCTGTAGGAACACCAAAATCGTAAATAAAATGGTTTTTGTTTTCGTTCCGCCAGTCATGCAATCATATGGCCTATCAACTACAAGTCATCCACAGTATGTTGTCAACATGCTTAAAAATAGAATTCTCATTCGGAATCTCGTTTAGAGCATCATCCTCTTACTTCTTGCAACAAGCATGGGGACTGTTTAAGCAGGCCATGACCCCATGTATTTTGGAATCCGCAGTCGCAGTGTACGGTCGCACAACAGCACACCTTGCTGAGTCGAACAAAATCATGTTCGAACATGAACGAATACAACTCAGCCCATAAACATATTTCTGGAGAAATGACAGGGAAATGTTGTTCTTACCATTTGTAGTAAAAGCTAACAGTCTACTAGGAAACCAATAATAAAAGGGTTTAGTTTTGGTCGGTTAATGGATTAAAATGAATATTTTGCTGGTTTAATAAAATAACCAGTAAATTTCATCATTCAGCATAGCCAATCTAATGGTACAGAGTAAAATATGCGGTAAAATGAAAGAAATGTCATAAAGACCATAGCCACCGAATCAGTATTACGGAAAATAATTAAAAATATTGCCTAGAAGCCAGAGGCACATTAAACATGATAAAACACTGAACTGTTTAATAGCCACTAGATCTCGAAACTAATCCGTGGGGACGATCGAATAATCCTTTTTCAGACAAGCTTTGTTCTCTATACTAAGGTTTCGTTGAAATGTTTCGAAACAAGCAAAGAAAGCCGTTTTATGGATGGGCTGCATTGCGAAAAAGCACACTTTCTGCTCATGGTCACAACGTGCGAAACTGCGGATTCGATCCTTCTGACAGCCAGGAGGTTTATTTTTGACAGCTTTGTAGGTGACCTAAGCATCACCTTAACATCGCAAGAAAGGATTCAGGACAGACGACAAGATCATAATACATATGTAAAGGGTCTGATCGAAATTTTCACTAAGGCTATGTCCTCTTGCCTCACAAGAACAATCGATCAAGAAGACTGTATGTTCTGATTATTTATCCGATTTTAATACTGCCCCAAGAATGCTGTGGAACAGTGGCAATGAGTCGACTTGTAATTCCACAAAATCCGAGAATCAACAAGTAAGGCCCTTTAACAACGAATTCACTTTGCTTTGTTTCGGATGAATCAGCCCACAAATAGGCAGCAGGCAATTGAATTGCAGACAACAGAAACAGCATGTTGTTTTGACGCGACCATTTCACAATGGGAAATACGTACGGCCACATTGTTTAATGGGAGCGCTTTTTCGGCTGCAATTCGCCTTGACTCGCTTGAAGGCTGATTATGCAATACAGGGTGCATATTTGTATACTGCTTTCAGTAAATCGTTTTTGCGTAAATTAGGAGTCGATTCCATTGACAATTTATTCATCTGATTCAGCAATTATTTTCTTTAGTCACCGATGCCTCAGAATCGTTTGGAATAAATCGATTTTTATAATTCCAAGCCTACGTACCAAAAGCTATGACCATTTACCTCGCTACTGATTTTTGAAACGTATGCTGGCATACTTTACTGCCGACTGAGAAATGGGATGAAGAAAAAAATTACCTCTACCATAGATAATTATATTAACTCTAACGGGCAACTGAAGCCTCATGAAACAAACAATCTGATCTGCCTGATAATCAACAGTAGGAACGTCCATCTAGTTGGACTCCTAACACTGAATATTCCTAACACTTTGAAAGTGATGCGTTTCTACGGCGCTCAAAGACAACAGTACAGAACGAATTTTCCGTTTCAATCTAAACAGATTATTAATACCATAGGAGACATTAATACACCCCTTCGAAAGATACAGATTCCCTGTCGTTATGCCGAATAAAAACCTGAACAGTCGCAAAATTTATTCTTGGTTCTCATCGGTAGGTAGCATTTATTCATATTTCTGTAGCAATTTGCAGTTCATTCACTGAAGCATCCTTTCGCATGTTTTTTTCATATCTGACTCAGGTATTAACCTCATTCGTATATGCCCAGAGAAGTAGCTAGTGGAGATACCCCATCCAACGACCGGCAACAGAAAAATCATAGGGAGCCTGGATGGTTCCACTACATGATAATCAAAAATCGCATAAAGGTTCGACTACCTGGTAGTGTCGTTCAATAAGAACAGCTGTGACTTATGAAACGGCGACAATTTACGAACCCCGAAGCTGTAAATCACCGTCCACTAGACGAATAATCTGAATATACTTTACCGTAAACAACTTAGCAATAACGTTGAAAGTAGCAAAACTTTAGTTTGATAAGTACAGAAAATCCGACATGAGCTCAGAAGCTAAATGCCTGCTGCAAAGTATTCAATGATTAAGATCAACCTTCAAACGTCAGGCATCAAAATTTTATTGCGACATTTGTGAAAGTTCATAAACAAACGCAAAATACATATATACCATTTTTACATAAGTTTTTTCGTTAGGATTGTATAAACATTTGCCGAAAACAATGCTACGACGCAAGTTTCAGACGTCAAACACCCGTCGACTTTTTCCAACATCGCACTAAGTTAAAACACAGAGTAATTCACTTTGCCGGCAACATATTTTTCCTGTTGTTGAAAGTTCGTCATAGGTTTGCCGGAAACACCACATGTTCCGACTCCAACTCGACCCAAGGTCGTTTCGGGTGAAGCAAATATAGAATCCTTCTTCAATCCCTAAAATTCTGCCGTTATTACAGTTTCATAAAGTATAAGGGTAGGTGACTAAGCGTCATCTGATTAAACGACATCGTTGAGCTTGGAAAAACTGCAGCTTATTTGTTGATCTATGGCTGATGCCAAATGACTAGAATTCATCGTAAAACTTTAATCACAAATTAACGCATCTGGCTAATTGGCAGCATCATCAAGGCACTTTAGCATCGGCTTTGTGCTCTTAACAGTTGATCAGCAACAAGTTTATTACACCTCTAGTAACAAACCGAGAATCGAAAACTATAAGCTTTCATAACAATTTTGCTTTCTCGTCCGGCAATCACCGCTAGAAACTTAATTTAAAATAATTACATTAAAATCCTTTATTTAGAACATGTTTACACCTCAATAAGGAATATAATTGGCAGGAAAAAGTTAAATTGGCATAACTTACATAACAAAGTAGCTACTAACATTAAGATAACCACTAAACAATGAATCAGTTGTTAGATTTGGAAAACTGCCATTTTTGGCACTCACTCCAAATTAATGGGTTTATATCTTTTGCTTATACAAATTAATTAAGATGTTCGTCTCTTCATGATTAAGAGTATTGACTAATACTAACGAGCAGTCATCGTAAGCTTACATAAATAAATCTTAGTTCATTTGAAACTCTGAATTATTCACTACCAAAGGATAAATAGAACGCTGCATAAATTCAATGGTTAAATGTATGCAGAAAATTGAGACTGTTTAAGTGCAAATGCATCATTTTGATAACCATGAATTTCAGTGAATCAATCAGTTACTAGCCTGTGATGCTATAAATAATACTACCCCAACTATCAGCTATGGAGCTTGAAAGACGTAAACCTGAACTCAAGCAACAGTAACAAAACAAAAAACGAGGAAGTAAAAAACATTAGCATGAAATTTCTTCTATCAATGTGTTCATGGTTAAAGCTGACAATGAAAGTAGCCAACATACCTCAGTAAATCTAGCTAGAACGCTCAAAAATGAAAAAAAATGTTGATGTAAAGCGATTACAAGCAAAACGACAGGACTACTTACTAAAAGATAAAAATGCTAGTAACCGATAAGATCAGTGTTTATCTCTATGAATAAATAAGCCTACGAATAGTGCAATATCAGCAGGTGTCCAAACAGGATTTCCCTCAGCGCTGCCTAATGATACAGTTTTGCATCCGTGCTCAAATATAACAGAACCGCGATCGACTTAAATGGACCCCTAAGCCGCCAGAAGCAAGGTGAAAGTGCCTGGAACAAATTAAATCGTTGTAAATTTCATAACTTCCCAGAAAGATAAAAACTTAAGAAATTATGCGAAAATCAAGCAGCGATAAAACGTGCGTGA